CACAGTGTTCCACAGTTACTTGTTTGCTTTATTTGCACAGTATAATAAATGTGACAGAATTTTAAAAGCCTAGAAATTGGCACCAAATAGGAAAATGAATTGTTACGTTTATATGGTGCCCCAACGTTCATAAAATGCCAACATAGCGGCTGGAGAGATGGCTCAGTGGTTAAGAGCACCAACTGCTCTTCCAGAGGCCCTGATTTCATTTCCCAGCAACCACATGGTGGCTCACAACCATCTCTTTGTGATGAGATCTAGTGCCCTCTTCTGGCCTGCAGGGATACGTGCAGGCAGAACACTATATACATAATAAATAAACCTTTTTCTTTAAAATGCCAACATACACATTAACATTATGCTCAGCTGATCTTGTATTTCATGGACCTAGCACATAATACCTGACACGTAGGAGGTAGGTAGTTTTCACTCATTCATGCACATGGACTACTGGTAGCTGTATAGTGCTTTAGTTTACAAAGCACTTTACTATGTTCTTTCTTAAATTTTAGTTCTGTGCTAAAATGTCTCCCTTTGTTAGCCCTGGTGCTGAGCATGGTATTTTGCAAATTATAAGGTGATCATAATAAGATAATCACATAATTGCATATTTTGTCATTTAAAATTGGTTTCCATGTATTTTCTTTTCTGCTGCCTGGTATAATGTATTTTACTGAAAATCACCAAAGCAGTAAAAACACATTGGCCTTAAGTATATGGATTATTTTTCATTCAAGCCATATTATGTTTATATATTTTTTACACAGCATGTTTTACTCTTTATTCCTACAGCAGTCTTTGTATCCATATTGTATCCATAGCACATAGACCAGTAGAATGCATTTACTAAGTAATACACATTCATTCAACACTAAGAAGTTTTAATGTGCTTTATGGTTTACAAAGTGTATTTATATTTTCATGTTACCCGGTAACATCTTCCTGTTTATACCCGGAAGTGACCACAATTAAGTATCACATCCTTAGTATTTAGCACAAAGATAGATAGATATCGAGAAGGAAATGACTGTTATTCAGACATATTCTCTGGCATTTATATCAGGGCTTGGGCTAGTCCAGGCAATAGGCCAACGAGGGATTCTTACCTTCTGAAAAGGTTTGTTTTCTTTTTAAAAGAATATGCAACTGAGACCAACAGCCCACAAAGCCTCAGGTATTTACAGTCTGAGTTCTTACAAGAAAAACTCAACTACATTTCCCACTGTTAACTGTGCGTGGTTGCCAGTGTGCTATGGGCATGTTCCTTTTTTCTCCTGTGTTGTATCAGTCATTGAAAGTCAAGTTCCCTCTTAAAGGGGGAGAAGGGGGCACGAGAACCATGAAGCCTGCTAATCAGTCCCAAATTCTCTCCTCATTAATCCTAAAGGAGGGTGTTAAACCCAGGAGTAGATTTAGTGAAATGCACCGAATTACTTGGCCACTACAATGAGCAGGGAGTTCAGACCTCAAGTCTGTCTGTCCCAAACCTAATCACTGTTCCCATTTTTAGAAATTCCATACCCTGCTCACCTAAGCCCAGAGAAGGAAGGGGATGCTGGCTGGTGCTTCTCAGGGGTTGGCACACTTGCATCTTACTTGTCTAATTCTTCTCATCGGTCTGGAGCATGTCTTCATATTTTCTCTAGATAGCCTGATATTGTTTTCCCCAATATTCTGATGCTTCCCTTTCTCATAGCCTAGGACTTCTGAGTTAGGGAGGATGGAAGTACAGTATCTGGCTGTATGGATGCTTGCTCCTAGGGGAATAGCAAAAGTCAGACTAGATACCACTGGCTGGATTTTGTTTTCTCTCTCAAGTGGAGCAGATGTGAAGAGAAATGGAAGTTTTAAAACACAAACATTTAACAAATGGCTAAAATCAGCTTTAAAACAGATTAACGACCGACCCGCGCACAATACTGTCAGTCTAAAAGCTTGTTCCTTTCCGGCAAAGGACAACATTGACAAGTACATCTCCAGCAGAGCTGGCTCAAACGGAAACCTAAGAGATAGAACAGAGTGCTGGGAATGTCCTAGAGAAGGAAAGGGATTTAACAGTACGAACGTCAGTGGGAGGGTCTCGGCTTCAGCTCTCCCCTGGTCCTAGGATTCTGGCCCTCCAGAGGTTTAGGCTAGAGGCCTCCAACTTCTACCCTTTATCTCTTAGGCCTTATGTCCACATAGGCTGGAGTCCTTAGTTCTTTGGCTTGGACTTAGCTCAGGTTGTGTCTTAGGACGCGGGTCTCACTTCTTAGACTTCGCATGGGTCCTGTGGAAACAGTCTCTCTCCTTTGGGTTGTCAGCATTCTGTCCATCCAGCTTAAGACACGAACCTTCCAGCCAGTTCAGATAAGCCTTCTGTGTGTCTTGGTCCTTAAGTCGCGAGTCACAGAACATCTGTCTTCCACTTTGGGCCTTTACACGTGTTCATCTCAGATCTACTCCAGTCCTGACTGTGGTGCTGTGTTTGTCTTGGGTTATTTCGCAGGGCAGTCTGGCATGAGGTGACATTCTGCACCTATTGGAAGGGGCTAGGAAGACCCTCTATCACACACACACACACACACACACACACACACACATACACAGAGAGAGAGAGAGAGAGAGAGAGAGAGAGAGAGAGAGAGAAAGAAAGAGAGAGAAATATCCAAGAGAGGATTACATTAGAGTAAGAGAGCGAGACACACAGACTTGTAAAGAGACTGAAATGCTCCACGTGAGTAGAAAGAGGGAAAAGCAGAAGAGAAAGAAAGAAGCATAAGCGAGCACAGCGCAATGGAGTAATGCCGAGATCAGAACTCACCAACAGCAAAGACACAGCTACAAAGACGGAAGAGAGAAAAGAGCCCAAGGCAGAAAGGAGGTGTAATGAAGAGAAGCATGTGCTAAGGACAGAAACAGCAGAAAGGAAAATGGGAAATGTTGAGTCAAAGGGCTGACAAACAGATCACACAGACAAAAACAAGTGAGGCGAGCGAGCGAGCACAAAGGAAGCAGAGGGATGCGTGCAACGTGGGACCCAAAGGGGAGTCATAGAAGGCAGAAAGAGTGAAAGAAGAGCTAAGAGAAAGAGCAAGCAGAGAGAAAAACAGACCAAGACAAGGCACAGATCACACAAGCGTCAGAGGAGAAAACCAGACAAAGCTCAAAGCAATACAAGGAAGAAACATGGGACTACGGAAGACACACCATAGACAGAGGAGGAGGAAAAGATACTTGAGGAAGACACACCATAGACAGAGGAGGAGGAAAAGATACTTGAGGAAGACACACCATAGACACAGAAGGAGGAAGAAAAGATACTTGAGGAAGACATACCATAGACACAGAAGGAGGAGAAGACACTTGAAGAAGACACACCAGACACAGAAGGAGGAGACACTTGAAGAAGACACACCATAGACACAGAAGGAGGAGGAGACACTTGAAGAAGACACA